TGTTCTTAAATAGACTGCCTCGTTGACCAAGTGGTCGTAAGTGCGACTGCCGGGCAAGAGATTTTGGGTTCGATTCCCGGGTCGAGCAAAGTATTACTGGGTTTTAAAAAAATAATCTCAGTAGTAGCACGGAATCTGGAATTGTGTCTGGTATATGGCAATAGGCTCACCCCCTATTACATGGGACTCATAACATAAATAGTGAAAAGTGGGTGTTACATTATACAGTGGCATAATGTGCACCCCTTCGGGGATAAAAGGCGTGATGTTCTGTTATGTTATTCTTAAATCATTTTGGTATTAGTTGATTCTTAAACGCAGTTTTGAAATGTGTATTGTAAAGTGATTTGTCAGTAATTTAGTCATTTGGTTAAGCTGACTGTCCTTCTCGAAGAAATCAGTAAAATATCTTGAGATTTTAGAAAAATCATAGACCACAGCGTCTACGACGATGTTGAGACGCTCGGCACGTTCACCAGTGGCGCTGGTAGTGGGTTGGATTCCCGGGTTGGCACAAAGTCAGTGTTATTACTGAGATTGTTACCTGTGTAGAGTTGAGACACAGCTCAGAGATTGTGCTAATCTGGAAGAGATTTATTTTGTTAATTCTTAAAAATCCTAATGTGATGTATGTACCTACATTTAAATAATGATGAGTGTGGGAGAACCATGCTTCGGCACGAATGGGCCGGCTCGACCGGAGTGATACCACGGCCTCACAGAAAACCGACGTGAAGCAACGCTTGCGTTGTGTTTCGTCGTGTGGGTGAGGTTACCGGAGGCCCATTTCGTTCCCCTTCCCCAATCTCCCCAACGATCCTCAAACTCCTAATCTCCAAAAGGCCGGTAACGCACTTGTAACGCCTCTGGTGTTCCACGTGTCCATGGGCGACGCCGATTGCTTACCATCAGGTGATCCGTCTGCACGTTTACCGACTTACGCCATAAAAAAAATAAAAAAAGGAATTTTGTTTCATAAACTAAAATCATAATTTCCTAGAACAGTATAAAGCTCGGTTCAATCCCGAGTCGTGTACAACTCAAATATCCGAGTATTTGGATTAAATAATAGTAAAATGCTTGCCAAGTTGTAATCCAGTGCGCTGCCAAGAGTCTGCGTCGCTGCGGGACATAATTAATTCTCAAATTTGTTAGCTCACTATACTGACTTATAGTTTGCTAATTAAACATTGTTTACTGACACTTGTAAGGAACAGGTAGGAGCTTCCTACTGCAAGTACATCTTACTTATTGCTTAGGTACATCTTTTGACAAAAACAAATTACTGGCTTGTTGTCTAATGTAGTGTGTACATAGAGTAGGGGATCTTGCATTGGACTATTTATTTATGCCAGTAAATTTAGGTTATTTTTTTGATCTCTTTGGCTGAATTTTATTGTTACATTGTTCTTGCACAATCCAAACAACTATGTAACTAGTAAATTGTATTGTGAACCTGATTGAAAAAGAGTAACCTATGGGGTTTCTTGCTCGTTCTTCTCCATAGGAATCTACCTCTACACCTTGGAATGAGCAACTAGCTTCACTTTTACTTCTTTTGACTTTTTTTGACGATTCCTGGGTTGGGAAAAATAATCTTCGTTTTTAATAGTACTGAGCCCGGAATTGAGTCCAATATATGGTAATCCATTACAGATGGGGCCCAATAGGGCTGATGCCGATACGGAGCCGCGGAGTACCTAACGGGTTACCGGGGCTCCGGCTCGACGTGCAGGAGAAGGAACGGGGTGGTTTTTAGTCAGTAAGAGTCTGACACTCCCTTCCGCCTCACCCAGGCGGGAGCAGTCATTCGATGATTTTCCCCCCATAAAAAAAAAGAAGAGGCTTTGGTCAGCAGCGGGCACTTATAGGCTGTTATAAAACGAAAGCAATTACTGAAAAACTGAAAGCATACGCAACCGACTGAAAGACTTATTATCTTGAAAAATTAAATACGAACTCATCTTGTAGTTTTACTGAACGAGATCTAATAACCGTCTGGTTGTTCATTTGGCGGCCCTTAGCGAAGTCTTTGACGGGGGCATTCTCCTCAAAGGCCACTGCGTACAGTCTACATTTTAAACTACGTTATTTTTCCATCTCTGCTCTCTCTAGTTTGCCTACGACTGCTATGGATATGATTTTGAGTTGCCAAGGATATTTTCAAGAAAACTGGTACACATAAACTATATTCAGGTTTAATATGTATATGTTCTTGTTCTCCTTATTCATCATTTTCACTATTTACATAACATAACATAACATCACGCCTTTTATCCCCGAAGTAATAGGCAGAGATGCACATTACGGCACTTAATGCCACTGTACAATGAATCACCCACTTTCCACTATAATTATGTTATGAGTCCCTTGTAATAGGGAGTGAGCCTATTACTATTTACGTACTATTGATATTAGAATAATTCCAAAGTGCACTAAGAATTAATAGAACAATAAATGAGCTTTTTAATACAGGTATGCACTAGAACTTGCAATCAGACACGTTGACATTAATCCTCTTAAAGAAAACAGCCTTGATCAGTCTTCCGCCTGATTTATAATGATTAATGTTTTATTTTTAGTCTAGTGGTACCTACAAAGAACCTATATTTATGAAAATTTTAATTATTTTTAAGTTTTATACACCATATTGTAAGTCAGTCTCGGTACATCTCAGAACTACAGTCACCCTGTCCGCCGGCGGCACACAGAGGACGTTGTCCGTCGCCCGCATGACCGCTTGTTGTTTACTAAACCGTGTTTTGTTTTACAGCGACCCTCCACTGTCACCCACTGTCACCCGCTCTCGGCCACTCTCGCCCACTCTCGGCCGCACTCGGCCACTTTCGGTCACTGCCGGCCAGGGCTTGAAGAACTGTTTGTCTCCTCTTACGTACTCATTATCAAGGAATAATTTATTTACTCAGATTTAAAATTAGATGAGGTACTTATAAATAAGATGAGGTTGATTGCTAAGTTTTAAAACCACCTTTAATTTCAATTTGACCTGAATACCTGAATGTATTTATGTGTCATTTTTCTTGTTAATTTTCGCTACAATTTTGTGACTCCTAAAAACAAATTTTCAAAATCTAGGACGGAAATGTAATAGCTTTTCTACTGTTAACATTTTCGAAATTTTAAACCTATAATATTCAATGCAATATTGAAATTGAGACTGGAGTCTTAATTACATAATTATATGTATATTTAAATTGAACCATAAAACAGCTGGCTAGACAGTAAACACATAACTACAGTTAACGTTACCTACATTTCGATTATATTGCTTTAAACATATTACCAGTAATTCGGTAATGGCTGTTTAATTATACATTTAAATAGGGCTGATAAAACTATCATCGTTTATATAATATTAAACCATTTAAGTAGGGAAGAAGTGAATGTTCTTAATACACCTGTACCTAGTTATTTATTAGTTTAACAATCGTTTACTGCAAAACCTAACGCGAATTCTATTTCCAAATACAATTAGTATTTTGTTATCATCATCATCAACAGCCTATAAGTGCCCACTGCTGAGCAGAGCCTCTTGTCACCACGCTTGCTCATTGCGGGCAATTTTAAGTCCAGGTTTCCTCACGATGTTTTCCTACACCGTTTGTCAGTGGTGTCTAAATAATCTAGAAAGTACACATAACTGGGAAAAATTACATTGGAACTTGCCGTTGGCAGGTTTCGAACCCACACCCTCATGCATGAGAAACAATAGAAGTAATTAGTTAACCAAATTATAATTACAATAATCGGAAAACAACATAAAAAAACTCTATCCTATTAGGTATAAAAACATCGTAATTATCCTGAAAAATATATTTTTTATTTTAACTGTCTTGTTTAAAAAATCAAAGTGTCAGGCCCTGGTAGGATTTAGTAATAATTTCAAATAGGTACTTAAATAGTTTTACAGTCATTAGTTACACTTAAGATAGTAAACAATAAACAAATAGTTTAAAAATATCTTCCGTACCTATTAACAAGTAAACTAACTTATGTTTGTGGTTTTACCTGTTTTACATGTAATAACATGCATTTACATGGGAGGGGGGTACATGGGCATCCGGTAACTTCACTCACACGACGCAAGCGTTGTTTCACGGTTTACTGCTCGGCCGTGGTATCACTCCGGTCGAGCCGGCCCATTCGTGCCGAAGCATGGCTCTCCCACACTTTCGGCATGTAAATGGTGTTAAATAAAATATGTTATACACAAATAATATAACAGAATTATTTTTTTTAACTTTTAAATTCAATTTATCTTTTACTGAATTATTTAGTATTTTGATAATGAATAACAAACAGACGGAACCATTCTATGTAGGTAATGTGATAAAAAATAGAATTAATAGTCTTTAAGGTGAAATAAAACCAAATTCTAGTATATTAGTATACTGTTTGAATACACAATAGCGAACAGTCAGCATACCTCCACACAACAATAGTACAATTATAGAAGAAATTCACGGCAAATAACATTTTCGAAATATCACACTTCGACCCAACTTCAAACATCTTGAAACTGTAAGTGATTTTATGTTATTCTTTTTGGAAAACAATGTGTAATAGGAAGAAGATCGTAATCTTTAAAATCGTTAGATATTTTATAGTTTACGTACATCTAAAATAACAATAAGACAATTATAATGTTGTTATTTTAGTTTACTTCTAATCAGGTGAATTTTTAGAAAATGTTTACGTACTCCTTGATGGACAAAAATGTCTCAATCCTCAATAGTGCTATTTGGTATCACAACAATCCCGGCATGTCAAGTACATAATGAATAACCAAATGACAGCTCATATAACCACTTTTTAAATAGACAATACTACTAAAAATGGCCGTTTCTATAAGAAACAACACAGATAGATTTCCAACTTTACTACAAAGTCATACAGTTCAAATTCTGCCTTCTGACGTCTCTAGTCTGTACTGCACCTTCTAAAGATGTCTGTATAACTTGTTCCAGTTACCTGCTACCATGGGAGCCAGTACATCGACGGAGCTGATCCAGATCGCTCAGATACCATTCGCATTGCTGGCCATCACTGGACTGGACGGGATCCTGTGGCCCACGCAGACGTTGCTGAAAGGTATTTACACAACTGTCAAGTTTTATAAGATGTTGTATGGTACTCTCTCATTATTATAATCATCATCATGATCTTTGGTGGAGTGAAGTCCACTTGTGAAGAAAGGTCATCCTTATAATCACGTCCTTGCTATAATATGTGTTTAGGAAAGACTTTTAAGACCGGGTCAATGCTCTTAGCGAGCCAACTCGGTGCCAAAGCCCAAGGAATAACATCTACTTCTTATTAGTTTAGAACTAGTACAAAATTATTACAAATTCTAGCTGAAACTTGTGTAAAATGTCCAAAATAAGAATGTTAATCAAATGAAGCGAATATCCACCCACTTTTTACACGACTGATCTCAAGTTATAAATGGTATGAAAAGAAAAATATACAGTCATACCTACATATGTTTAGTCAGTCAGCGAGTATGTTATACTTCCTCGTATTACAATATATAATTAGAAAATTAAATAAATAATAGCATCACACTAAGGGCTTGTTCACGCTGACAAGCGTGCGCGGGCGCGAGCGCGGCGGACTGCCAGGTGTTTGCGCCAGCGATAAGTTTAAACCGTTTGAACTTATCTGACGGCACAAGTGAATCGCGCGCTCTACCGCTAGTTCGACATGAACACACCCATACGGCTGTATGCGTTTGTTGATACCCGCTACTTACACCGCACCTGCGTTTTGTACGTAATGACTAATTGCATGTCGTGTCATGTTTGAAATTTGATGCCCGCGCCCGCACTCGCGCTCGCGCCCGCGCCCGCTCCCACGCCCGCGCCCGCGCCCGCGAGTCAGCATGGACGAAGTCTACTCTACATTTTCTCCGAATCTGAAACCTCCCGCCGCCGTCAGAATAAACTGATTTTAAGTACTACACAATAGTTGCTAGGCACGAAATGTACAGGATATTAAATATTAGCTTGTTTTACTTTAATCTCTAGGGATTTTATATCAAAGTTGAACTATATGCTTGGTAACTACCTAATAATATCATAGTACACTTTTCGTACATTTTCTTCTTTCTTCTTTAAAGAGAGATATAGAGGTAATATACCTTCTTAGTATTTGATAGGTCTTATTAGCGTAGATAGGTAAAGACAAGAAGGTATAAAATACCGATTAATTTATTCTATACCTATTTCTTTAAAATCCTAATCAAGTTAAATTCAAAATTACAGTGAAAATAAAGGTTAAACAGCATATTCTGTAATTATTCATTGTTTAGGAACAAATTAATTTAAGTCAAAAAAAATTTAATCTGCAAAAACGTATACAACTTTTATACAATAATATATATGTATGATACTTGTATGGTACATACATACATAAGATACCACCCATGTATGAACATACGTATGTTTCCAGATGACGCAATATACGACTACATAGTGGTGGGAGCTGGGTCAGCTGGTTGTGTGGTCGCCAGGAGACTCGCTGAGGATGGGAACAACTCCGTGCTGGTACTGGAGGCTGGGGACGATCCTCCTATCACTGCTATGGTATGTACTTCATTTAGTAACGTAAAAGAACTTCAAAATATCTCAGCAACGAATTTAAATAACATTTGAGGAATACGACCTCTAGTTAATACCCTCCTGGTTCCTTATTCCAGAAAAGCAGTAGAAAAGACTGCCTCGTTGGCCGAGTGGTCGCAAGTGAGACTGCCGGGCAGGTGGTCTGGGGTTCGATTCCCGGGTCGGGCAAAGTATTACTGGGTTTTTTCAAAATTCTCAGTAGTAGCACGGAGTCTGGAATTGTGCCCGGTATATGGCAATAGGCTCACCCCCTATTACATGGGACTCATAACATAAATAGTGAAAAGTGGGTGTTACATTGTACAGTCGTATAATGTGCACCTCTGCCTACCCCTTCGGGGATAAAAAGGCGTGATGTTATGTTATGTATAGTAGAAAAAGTCCCATAATAAAATAGAGGTAAAAAATTGTAAACACCTTACGTATTTCACAAATCGAATTCCAATGAAATATTTAAAAGTAAAACTAAATAAAGACAAAACATCTCATTACCTAGAGTGACCGAAAAAACAAATAATTCAGCTAACGTTGCAGTTTCCTGACCAATTACGTGGCACGTCAAACTGTCACGTGGAACATCAACTTGTGCCGCGTCACTATGATTGACAGGCGTTTAGTTCACACCTACCGCGCCCTGACAGACAGCCAGTGGAGACTACTAGAACACTGGACATATACGTGTTACATTTTACATTATGAATGATACATTAATACTGAATTAAATCGTCTTTTGGATTATGAACTATATGTTAATGCAGGTCAGGTTAAAAAAATGAGTTATCTAAACAATGCTAACAGAATTATACACTTTCAGATAGCAGGAGTATTCGACTTACTACCAGGATCGTACGTGGACTACAACTACACTTCCACTCGGGATGAGTACGCAGCTCGCAGCCAGAATAACTATACGATGATCACCGCTGGGAAAATGTTAGGAGGCAGCGATTCACTCAACCACTTCATCCATACTAGAGGAACAGAATATGACTATAACTGCTGGGCCAAAATGACCAACGATGATTCCTGGAGATATGAAAATGTACTTCCCTATTTCAAAAAAAGCGAAAGAGTAGATGACCCGGAGATCCTACAAGCATATGGCGAGTATCATGGTATAAATGGGCCTATGGGTATTACTAGACAACTTGAAAATGATACAGTTAGTGATTTATTAAAAGCTTTCGCTGAAGCTGGTAATCCATCAGTACTGGACTTGAATGCAAATGTGTATATAGGTTACACTCAACCACAGTACATGTTTGCTGATAGAAAACGACAGACACCAGCGTACACTTACCTCAAACCTATCAAAGATTACTCGAATCTTCACGTTTCTAAAAACACCAGAGTTACAAAGATTATTTTCGAAGGCAAAGTCGCCGTCGGTGTCGAGGCTATGTACAAAGGCAAAACATACAGATTCCGAGCTGCAAAAGAAGTAATAGTATGTGCAGGAGTATACAATACTCCTCAGCTACTCATGCTGTCAGGAATCGGTCATAGAAAACATTTGAAGTCTTTCAATATTGATTTAATCCAAGATCTACCCGTCGGAGATAATCTAGTAGACCAGGTTGCAGTCACGATAGTACACAAATTGAAAAAATATCCGATACCAATCCCTGCCATACCCAGTGACTTGACGAAAATACCTTTTCCTATTTTAATAGGATCGGCAGCTTTAAACAAAACGAAACAAATCCCAGAATATCAAACGTTCAACATATTCCTTGCCCATGACTTGCCATACTTGACAATTGCTTGTGCCCAAGTGTTCGGTCTGCGGAATGAAATATGTGACAGATGGCAGAAACAGGTCGAGTCTAGAGACTCATTGTACACTATTCTGACTATCCTCCAGCCGAAATCAAGAGGCAGAGTGCGTTTAGCAAGCAGCAATCCATACGACGACCCAATAATTACAACTGGTTTCTTTGATAAAGACGAAGATTTGATGAACATGTTGAAGTATGTAAAAGACTTTATTTCTGTTGGTGAGACGGAGTATTTTAGAGAGATTGGAGCCGGAGTAGTCGGTCTCGACCTTGAGGAGTGTGCAGACAAGGAAGCAGGTAGTGATGAGTTTTGGATATGTTATGTCCTGAATCACGCCAGTAGTCCGTATCATCAGACCAGCACGTGTCCTATGGGCAGAGTGGTGGACAGTCAGCTGCTGGTGAATGGTGTAGAGAAGCTTAGAGTGGTCGATGCGAGTGTGATGCCCAGGATCCCTCGCGCGGCTCCCAATGCTGCCGTCATCATGTTGGCGGAGAAAGCTAGCGATATGATCAAGAATGCGAACCAATGAATGTAACCTGTTAGCTTATCATGTCCTACATTTTGTTATTTCACTACAATAAAATTTGTTAATCAATTACACGTGCATTTTTATAAAATAAAAACAGTTGTGGCTTATTAAGAAAAAACTTCATACATAAATAAACTCACGTCTGTTTCCCATGGGGGTATGCAGAGACTAAAATAAAATTATTGTTATAATTTTACTATGGGATTTTTATGTGTCTATATCATCAATTTTTAATAGCATAAGGTTGCTGAGCTTGGAACCAAGGTTATATAGCATTTCATATAGGTAGTATCTCTATTTTTCGTTAAGATTTGAATAAAGTTTTAAAGATTACCCAATTTTCTGAAATAGTAGTGTTAGCGAACTATTTTTCATTAACGCAATGTAATCTCAAAGTTGTCAGTATCGCAGTTGGCACAAATGGGCATCGCTCCCGAAGTAACTCGGTGACTTAGATTCCATCAACAAGTTGTGATTTGACAAAGCAATTTACTTCCATCTTGAATTTGGGAGTTCATTGCGAAAACTATAACTAGTGCGGAATTACTTTAGTTGGTGTTTATATATGTAAATGAAGAAGCTAAGTTAGCCCTTCATTTAATTTAAATTTCCCGCGTATTTTGGTTTAGACTTTATACGTCAGTATAATCTGTGGTGACAGCTTTTTTCCACTATGTCAAAGACAATGGTTTTGTTTTGTCTCGAGATTTTAGAATAAGCGCGAAAGATATTTGTGCAAATTATTTTTAAAATAAGGATACAAAGGATTGTTTGAAGCAATAGCTCTTAATGTTGTTTCTTTTACAGGTTAGTGGACCATAATGTTTATCTAATACTAATTACCTAAGTGAGTTGTGTATTTGCAAACCATTTCATTGGTTATGTTGTATTTATAATTAAACTTTCTTTTACAGAGCAACAACATAAGTATCTTGTTTCAATAACCAACCTATTACAAAACAACATTATTTATAGCTGTTGTAAACAATGGAGAAGTTAAAATTCGAATTTATTGTAAAACCAAGCGAAGACCCAAAAACAAATGTGGTCTGTATAACCTCTATTATGGATGAAGACAAAAACATGTTCACAATTCCGGAACAATTACAACCGGTGAAACTACATGATACTGTTATAAAAACTCAAACCTTTCAAAAAGTAAAAGCTACATTACAGAGAAGACACGAAAAAAGACAAGTATGGATTTCCATAACACCAGAATTACGTAGTACATATTTAGATGAAGATGGAAATATGCAGTTCAAAGGCTATTTATTAGAGCAGATTGCATCAAAAGAACAACAACAAGTCATTACGAATGAAATGTCAACAGAAACGCTTACAAAAATCTTGGAAAAATTAGTGGAATCGAAGAAGGAGTCTACCGGAACTAATCTCAAAAAAATATCCGAAAAGATGTTTTTAGAAAAATTCACAAAGAAGACGTCAAGTGTTACACAATGGATGGACATTTTCGAAGCTGAGTGTACTCGTGTTGGTGTAAATGAAGATATTGAAAAAATTCAAGTGTTACGTTTATTTTTAGATGACTCTTGTCAGGACTGGTATAATTCTATGCTTATAAAACATACAATTAAGTCAGAGTGGTGTATTTGGAAAAAAATATTTTGTGAAACATATGTGAACAAAGGCTGGACACCAATAAGGTATGCTTTTTTATTTAAATATAGGCAAGGCTCATTACTTGAATACGCTTTGAAAAAGGAGAGGCTTTTGTTAGAGATTAACAAATTAATTGATAAACCTACTTTAATTGATTTAATTGTGATAGGGTTACCAAATTTTATCGCAGATGAAATTGACAGGAATAAACTAAAAGACACTGAGGATTTATTTAGTAGCATTCGAGGAAAAAATGAAAATTCATTGAAAGAAAAGAAATAGACTCGGATACTAAAATTAAAGAAAAATACGTTAAAGACCGTCCGTGTAGAATTTGTGAGAAAGAAAAGAAAGGGACTCGATACCATTCCGAAAACATATGCTGGTTCAAAAATAAAGATAATGATCGCACAAGAAAAGAACCAATTAGGAGTGTCAATAACTCTCAATTAGAAATGAGTTTAAATGAAATTGGCCCAAAAAACTTGTAATTCCACCATTAATCAAAATTAAAGTACTAATAAATGATTCCATTGAAACATTAGGTGTGTATGATTCGGGATCAAATGTAAGTTTAATTAACTCAAAATTATTATCTTTAAAAAACTGCTTAAAAACAATCAAGCAAATTTAAGAACGATTAATGGTGTGAAAACTTCTATAGGAGTAGTAACATTAAAAATTAAGATTTTTCAAATGGAAAAAAATTTGAATGTCTTTGTCATAGATGGACAAAATTTTGATTATGACTTTTTGATTGGACTTGATTGCATAAAATCTTTTCAACTGATTCAAAATGAAAATTTAGAAATTTCACAAAAACTAAACAAAGATATAATACATAGTAATGAAAATATTCCTGGCTTCACAGGTGACAAAATTGAAAATAAACAATATGTTCTTGATAAAAATAGTGTTAAAGGACTTATACGGAAAACTAATCTTCATATGAATAATATGTTTAAGGTAAACTTTAATGAACACATAGAAGTAAAAAATTTCAACATTTCAGTAAATCACTTAGACTTTCATCAACAAACAAAAATAGATGATTTAATTAATAAATATAAATCACTGTTCGCAAAAGATAAATATGATGTAGGCTCAGTGAAAGGTTATGAAGCACATATAGATCTACTAGTAGATAAATACTGTAGCAAAAGACCCTATAGATGCAGTTTTGAGGACAAAAAGGAAATAGAAATACAAGTAGCACAATTATTAAAAAAACAATTAATTGAAGAATCTTATAGTCCATTCGCAGCACCTGTAACTTTAGCTTATAAAAAAGAAGAAGGCAGAAAATCTAGACTATGCATAGATTTTCGGGACTTAAATAAAATAGTGGTTCCGCAGTCGCAACCATTTCCACTCATAGAAGACCTAATGATAAAAACGAGGAATTGTAAATATTTCTCAACACTAGATATTAACTCTGCATTCTGGTCTATACCTTTAAAAGTCGAAGACAGAATGAAAACAGCATTTGTGACACAAGAAAATCATTATCAATGGACATGTTTACCCTTCGGCTTAAAAACTTCACCCGCAATTTTCCAAAGAATACTAGCTAACATCATTAGAAAACACAAACTATCAGATTTTACAGTAAATTTCATCGATGATATTTTGGTGTACTCACAGACATTCACGGATCATATTGAACATTTATCTTTATTGTTAGAAGCAATTTCAAAAGAGGGCTTTAGATTAAAATTCTCTAAATGCAATTTTGCGCAAGATTCTGTCAAATACTTAGGTCACATAATAAAAAAACAACACAGTCACTCCACTGAAAGACAATTTAATAGCTATAAAAGATTTTCCTGTACCAAAAACAAAGAAAAATGTCCGGCAATTTTTAGGTAAAGTTAATTTTTATGGGAAATATATACCAAAAATAACAATCATATTAGATCCCTTACACAATCTATTAAGAAAGGATCAAAATTTTGTTTGGACAGAAAAATGTCAGGAATCTTTTGACGCAATAAAAAAACAACTTTGTTCAATGCCTATTTTAGAAATATTTGATCCGGATTTACCCATTCATATCTACACAGATGCGAGTATTCATGGTTTAGGGGCTATTTTGAAACAACCACAAAAAAAATGGAGAAGAAAAGCCATGTGCATATTTTTCTAGGAAATTGAATGACAGTCAAAAACAAAAGAAAGCTATTTATATAGAATGCCTAGCTATAAAAGAAGCCGTTAAATATTGGCAACACTGGCTTATAGGAAAAAAATTTAAAGTGTTTTCAGACCATAAACCTTTGGAAAAATTAAACATTAAAGCAAGACCAGATGAGGAATTAGGTGACCTTACATATTACTTATCACAATTCAATTTTGAAGTTATATACTCACCAGGGAAAGATAATTTAGAAGCAGATAGTTTAAGTAGAAACCCTGTATTAGAATCTGATGAAAATCAGGAAGAGGTTTTAAAAATTGTTAATGTTATTAAATTAGATGATATTCGAAACGATCAGGAGAAAAATACAGATATTAAATTAAGTAGAAATAAACTAATATTGAAAGGTGATATATACTTCAAAAGGATAGGAAATAAAGAAAAGATTTTACTTACTGAAACATTTAGTAAAAAAATAATTGAAAAAATACATTATTCATACTGTCATATAGGAATAAAACAAACAGGAAATAAAATCAGACCATTCTATACAGCAAACAATTTAAACAAAATATAAAAAAAATATGTGATAATTGTGAAATATGCATAAAAAATAAATCTAGAACTAAATTAAAATATGGATTATTATCTCACCTGGGTCCTGCTACTTACCCTTTTCAAATAATGTCAATAGATACTATAGGCGGATTTGGTAGTTCTCGCTCTACAAAAACATATCTTCACCTTCTTGTAGATCATTTCACCAGATATGCCTACATACTAACATCAAAAACGCAAAATGCAGATGATTTTATAAAACTTATAAAAAAAGTTTCTTCGGAAAATAAGATTGGGATGATTTTATCGGATCAGTACCCTGGTATAAATTCCAAAGAATTCAAAAGTTTCTTACAAAATGAAAACATACCTATAATCTTTACTGCAGTAAATACTCCTTTTTCAAATGGCTTAAATGAACGTTTAAATCAAACTTTAGTTAACAAGATACGATGTAAAATTAATGAAAACAATTATAAAAAAGCATGGACATCTATCGCTCATGAATGTACCCAAAAGTATAATGAAACTGAACACACTGTGACAGGATTTTCCCCAACATACTTAATGGAAGGAAAAATCACAGATATCCTACCGGATGAATTAAAAGAGAACAAAACAATAAATGATTTACTTCGAGATAGAAAGATAGCTTTAGAAAGAACTATAAAATCACACAATT